CTGACGCTAACAGCAGAAGAACTGGGAATGACTGGTCACTATGACACACACTGACCACCAGGGGGCAGACGCTCAATGCAGGAGCTGCCCTCTGGTGGTCAGTGTGCTCTCACCGCGGGGAGCTCTGCTCAGCCACAAGCCAGGCTGGTGGCTACCAGTACAGCAGTGGTGGTGGGAGCCTCTCCTGCCTCCTCAGCAGTGCTAAGGATGTCCGACTGCAGCTTAGGTCTGCTCCCTGCTGGCAAGTGGGCATCCCCTGAGGGCTGCTGGGCTGCCAGAGGGATGTCTGATTGCCAGCTTAGGTCCAATCCCCCAGGGAGCAGGCCTAAGCCAGCAAGTGGTCACCCCCAAGGGGTCCCGGACTGCGAGAGGGCACAGGCCGGGCTGAGGGACCCCCTACCCCCGAGTGCACAAATTTTTGTGCACTGGGCCTCTAGTTTATTTAACACATTGTATGCGGGAAACGTATTTATACGTTTTACGTTGACTGTAAGGAGTAGAGCCACCTGTTGGCGCGCGATAAAAACTACCCACAAACAATGTGTTAAATAAAAAGAAAACCTCTAAATTGGTCATTGAATTACCTCCCTGCAACTTTAGAGTTTGTGACATTTCTTGACCTTGCTAGTTCTTTCATTAGATCTGTGCAAGATCTAGACATCTGGTTAAGGGTTTTAAGCAGACGCAACTATGAACCTCAGAAACTATCACTATTACTGTCAGTCATATTAAAACTGTTTCTTGCCCTAACAGGTTTGGCTCGATGGATAGAGCGTCAGCCTGCGGACTCAAGGGTCCCAGGTTCGATTCCGGTCAAGGACATGTACCTTGGTTCCGGGCACATCCCCAGTGGGGGGTGTGCAGGAGGCAGCTGATCAATGTTTCTCTCTCATCGATGGTTCTAACTCTCTATCCCTCTCCCTTCCTTTCTGTAAAAAATCAATAAAATATATATTTTTAAAAAATATATTAAAAAAACAACAAAAAAAAACCTGTTTCCTACCTCAAGTACATGACCCACAAGGATATGAACTAATGACGAAAAACTGTTTTTGTACACTGTACATCCTTAATATTTTTACACGTATCAGATAGGGGTGCTCCTTATCTTCCTTTGTACAGACAGCTGAAATAAAGCACTGTGTCAATCTGCTATTTCAAAAAAATTTTTTAAAAAGGTGGTTAGAAAAGGTTTTATTGGAAAACAGTCTGCAAGTTTCTCAAAAAGTAAAAAATAAAAGAAAATAGTTACCATATGACCCAGCAACTCCACTCGTAGGTATTTACCAAAGAGAAATGAAAACATTATGTCAACATAAAACTTATACATGAATGTTCACAACAACATTATTCATAGAAGCCAAAAAGTAGAAACAACACAAATGTTCATCGACAGATGAATGGAGAAACAAAAGGTGGTATAGCCACACAATGGAATATTATTTGGCCATAAAAAAGAACTAAGTGCTAATACATGCTACAACATAGATGGACCATGAAAACTTTATGCTAAGTGAAAAAAGCTAGTCACAAAAGACCACACATTATATTATTTCACTTATAGGAAATATCTGGAATAGACGAATCTATAGGGGCAGAAAGTAAATTAGTAGTTGTCTAGGGTTGTAGGTGAGGGATTGGAATAATGAGTGACTGTTAATTGGTTCACAAAGTGTGGGATTCTGTAGAATATTAAAGAGCAGAAATCACAAAAGCTATAAAAATACAGACTTCAGAGTGTCTGAGCTTTATGAGCAGAAGATAAAAGGGAGAGACCTAAGATAAAAGGGAGTGATCAATCCAGGTTGTACCAACACAGGATATAGAAAAGAATTACAGGATGACATAGACTTCCAGGTGAGAGTATAAGAATATCTAGACCAAAACCAGGAGAAAGAAGAGAATCAAGCCTTGTGAGTTTTCATCGAAACCTTTGAAAGGAGGGATTGGTGGTTAACAGATGAATTGTAGCGTGATCCACCTTATATGTGTTTATACTTCTTAAATTCTACTATAATCGGTCAAAATAGAATTGGGGATGGAGAGAGGCAAAGGTGGGAGGGAGAGAGAGAGAAAGAGAGAGAGAGAGAGAAGTAATAATTTAGATTCAGGTGTTGCCCTTGTGATAAAATGCAAAAAGTTAAATAAATAAATAAATAAATAAATAAATAAAGGCTGCAATAGTTTGCAGCTTCTCCCATAAAGAGTAAGAGTGTTTTCTCCATCTCCTGATTTGGCCATGTGACTTGCTTTGATCAGTGAACCATTAGCAAACGCGATGCTCGAAAAGGCTGGAAAAGTGCTTATGCACTGGGATTCATCTTCACTATTGTTGCTTTTAGAACTCAGCCGCCATGTCAAGAAACCTGAGCAAGCTTGCCAGATACTGGAGACATATGCCCCAGTTGCCCTATTGCTCTAGTCAAGTGACAGATATGTCTAACCCCAAAGCCCATATTCATAATCAAAGCATCACCATCACCACCACCACCACCACCACCATCATCATCATTGTAGCATCTACTCTTATTATTATTCATGTAGTATATACTCTCTCTCAACATGTTAAGGGTTGGAAAGAGAAAAGAGCACATCACAATTAGAGTCTGAAAACTAACCAATGCTTTTCTCTATAATGGGGCTTTGGTAAAAGTATACATCTTCTTTGAACCTCAGTTTCCTCAAGTGGGAATTAGACCTAACCATAGGGTTCCTGGGAAAAATAAAAACATGGAAAAGTTATCTCTTTAAAAAAAAAAAGATTTCAGGGAGGAAGAGAGAGGGAAAGAGATAGAAACATCAATGATGAGAGAGAATCATTGATTGTCTACCTCCTGCACGCCTCCCTCACCCCACACCCTCCACTGGAGATCAAGCCCGCAACCTGGGCATGTGCCCTGACCAGGAATTGATCTGTGACCTCCTGGCACATAGGTCAATGCTCAACCACTGAGCCATGATGGCCAGGCAAAAAGTTATCTCTTGACTTTTTTTTTTAAAAAAAGGGCTTTCTTGACTTAAAGTGATATATATTTGCAATTAATAAAGGGGATATGTTTTAAGCAAGCTCACCAGAAAAGTTTCTAAAGAATCTAACTTTAGCCCTAACCGGTTTGGCAGAGTGGATAGAGCGTCGGCCTGTGGACTGAAGGGTCCCAGGTTCAATTCCAGTCAAGGGCATGTACCTTGATTGCAGGCACATCCCCAGTAGGGGGTGTGCAGGAGGCAGCGGATCGATGTTTCTCTCTCATCGATGTTTCTAACTCTATCCTTCTCCCTTCCTCTCTGTAAAAAAAACAAACAATAAAATATATTTGGAGAAAAAAAAAAGAGTCTAACTTTAACAATCCCTTAAAAATCAAGTAAAATATATTTGTTCTTCATAAAAGAAATTGTTACTTTTCCACCTTGTCTGTAGTGTCACAGAATAAGATGTTAAAGTTAAAATGCCATAAAAACTACATAGTGTTTCCGACTCTTTCAAAACTGTTCAACTACTAGGGTTGGGAGAGGAAAGTATGTGCTTTCTCAGCCTTTGAAATGCTTCCCGATTCTGTCATCTTCTTTTCATCTCAACATCAAAGTTGGGAAAAGCTCTTCCCCACCAAGGACAGGTGTATACATGCCACTCACTGAGGCACTTTGCTGCCTCATTAATCTGCCTCTTTTCTATTTGCATCTTGAGAATCAAGCATCAGCCTTTTATTTCTCTTAGCTTTTTGCTGACCTGCACTCTCTCAGCTGGCAAGCTGTTGACACATTTTGACAGGTGATTTGGCTCATAAAAACAGCCAACAAAAGGAATCAGGGAGAAGGGGCTTCACCAGAAGCATGGTCAGTGTATATGAAGTGCTGAAAATGGCAGAAACACAGAAACACATATTTATTAACTGGTTAAGAAAAAAGAAGGGAGTTCCTTGCTTTCTGGACGACCTAACTCCCAACTCCCAGGGTCTTGTAACCAAGAGAAGTCAAAACACAGGGTATGGGAAAAATATGTGTTTGGGACATTCAAAAAATTCAAATTCAGCAAATAGGTGAATTTTAAAATTTTTAAATTTCCAAGTATTTACATTGTTCATGTACATGACATTTTTAATGGGAATGTTAGGTAACTCAAACCACCAAGAAATTCTGCTACCCTCACAGAGGCCTCTGGTGAACAGTGTATGAAAGTCAAGGAAAGGAGAAAATTCCCCAGTTGGCTCAAATAAAAAGATAAGCATGGAACAGACTGTGGAATTTCAGAGGGAAGGTGGGGGAGGGTGGGTAAGTGGGAAGAGATCAACCAAAGAACTTGTACGCATATATGCATAACCCATGGACACAGACAATAGGGTGGTGAAGGGCAGTGGGGATGGGGGCGGGACTAGAAGAGGTCAATGGAGGGGGGGCGGGCAAGGGGACATATGTAATACTTTCAACAATAAAGATTTAAAAAAAATAAAAAGCCAAGATAAACTCACAGACACAAGACAAAGTAGAGAACAATATCCAGAGAAGGCAGGGTTTCAAAACTAGAGGAGACCACCAGATCATACCCCTAAGAAATTTGCAGAAATTTTGAGGAGGACAAGCAACGTTTAATGGGGTGTGAAATGGGAGTCCTGTCAGTGTATCTAGTTCTTAAGGGGTCATACATGCCCAGCTGACACCTGGCTCACCCATTAACAGCCTCCCTGTTTTAGCTCCCAACCTGTGCATTCTTGGGGGTCTTGCATTCATATAGGTCCCCCTGTTCTTAAGAGTCATAGCATCTCTTCATGGATGGCTCAATTGGATTCTTTTGACACCCAACATCTTTTGGCTTGTTCTGATTTGCAAGTTCATACATGGAACAGTCATGAACACATGTGTATGTTTCATTTTCCTTACCAGTTTTCCCAATTAGATTGACCATCTAAAAGATTGCTTTCCCACCCTCCCCTTTGTTAGGATTTAGCTCTTTCTCTACCCCTTAGCTTACCCACAAGTTCTAGTTTGTCTGGAATCTCACGTACCCCTTAGGAAAAGAAATACTACCACATCCAAAAGGTGTAAAGGTCCCAAGGATAACTTGATCTGGCAAGTCACTGAATATGTTGGTGTACATGCCACCCCAAGGGAGGGCAGAATAGCTTTGACAGACAGCTACACGGCCAGACGGATAGATAAAATCAAGGTTAAGGAACTGATAAAACACACAATAATGATAATAATAATTCTTATATAGAATGCCATTAATTCTTAGTCAATTATTTCAATTAGCTATTTACAGATAACACAACAGAAGTCCAGAGAGGGTGACTCAATTCCCCATAGTCACTGAGCATGATAGTGCCAGGCTAGCACACTGGTTCCCTGACTCCCAGTTGCATGTTCCTACCATACACTCAATTACCTGCACCCTCATTTTAGCCCTGTATTCTTTGAAATCAACCATGTGAGTAACAACAGGTAAGTCTGGTCAGACTGGTCCAGTTAATGGCAAAGTTGCTGAAAACCAGAGTTGCCCTTGGTACCCAGCATTGCAGGGTGTGGTCATTCCAGCACACAGCAGGAGAACAGGATCTCCCCACCAATGTCTATGGACAGACAGGAGCAAAGGAAGGCTAAGGGATAATTGCGGATATGTGAACAATTTAAAAAACCTAGCTGTACCAACCTCTATAAAACTATGACGGACTCTTGAGGTCTATTTCATTTTGGATTTGTAAGAATTTATTACAAACGCCCTCTTCTCTTTAAATTGGATTTTCTAGATGCTAAATCTCCATGTCATCCTCTCTACTAATCAGAAAATGCAAGGAAAACTCATTTTCTCAGAACCACATGAACACTCAGGTGCTTAACAAAAAGACTGGTTATAACCAGAGGTTTTCTTAAATAGAAGTAAAGTTTGTGAACTGGAGAATTTGTCTCAACCTCTTTGACTTCTACTGCTCCCCCAGCATGAGGGAATGCGGACCCCTGGGAGAAAGGGACTGAATAAGCACAAGACATCAGACGTCCTTTTTGGAAATTTCTGATGATACAGAAACACCCCACCTGTCAGCCTCTTCTACCATTCCTGGCCCCCTCCATCCTTCTTTCCCTTTGGAATTTCACAAGGATATTAAATCATGGAGGAACCGTCTATCAAGGCGTAATGGAACTTTTTCATCTCTGGGTTATCCTGTTGGACTGCTGGCATCTGAGGCTTCCCCTTCAGCAGCTCCAGCCAGAAATATTGAGAACTGAGGGGACTGTTGTCCACCTCTGCCTCCGGTTTAGGATCATTATAGTGGCGCAGAATAAGTCGTTTGTTGAATCCCTCTTTCTTCAGCTTGGCTGCTTCTGTTTTGCTGTTCAAAAGAAAAGAATTTGAGACTTGGCTAATTGCTTGGTTTTATCAAAGGCTGGAGGATGGCCAATGGCTGTTCTAATGGGCTTTTTTATTTTTATTACTCACCTGAGGATATGTTCATTAATGAGAGAGAGAGAGAAACATCTTTCAGTTGCCTCCGCTCAGACCAGAGATGGGACCTGTAATCTAGGTATGTGCCCTGACTGGAAATTGAACCCACAACCTTTTGGTGTTTGGGACAATGCTCCAACCAAGGGAGTCACCCAGCCAGTGTTTAATGGGCTTCTTTTAAATCAAGATATCTGGATTTTGAAATCCTTAGCTGAGCATTTAAGGAGTGCCTGCCATTTTTAAAGAGTTAATTGAGCACCCACTGTGTGTGAAGCACTATACCAGAGGCTGTAGAAACTGCAGGACTAGTAAGTAGCCTTTGTCTCCATAGGAGCAGTATGACACAGCACAGGCTTTGGATGAGAACTGAGATGAATCCTGGCACTGCCCCTTGGGACCATAGAAAGTAAGCCAAGTACTAAACTATGAGCCTTGGTTTCTTCATCTGTAAAATATGGATAGCAATACCTCTCAGAATTGTAAGGAATCTCTGGTTAATGCACGGACCTCAGTATTTAGCATGCACTCTATAAATACTAGTTGTTTTCATTACATTTTAGTGGGGATTATACACATACATGTTTATTAATAATAAGGTGATAAAGAGGAAGATTAGGTAAATACGAAACAACCTCGCTTCTAGGTTTTAGACTAGACCCTGAAATTAAGGTAGCCTCTTAGAACATTCATTTAACCATCCACAAATATTCACTAGGTGTCTTCCACAGGCAAAATTCATGAGAAAGATGCTATCTATTTCCATTCTAAAGAGAGCGCCCAAGTTACGCAGCTGCATGGGAAAGCCAGGCTTCAGTGTATGCATATTCACTCCAAACTCTCTACTAGAATCTCTCCACTTCACAATACTATTTCCCACATTTCTAGTGTCGGAGCTGTGGGCACAGTATGAAATGCAGACCCGCCAGGGCTCTGTATCTGAGGGTCAGTCATGAAGCAGACCTTACTAGTTCTTACCCAGCTTCCTACACACTCGTGTAGCCAAGTAGCAGGTAGTTGTTGGCAACATGCCAGTAGAAGCCTCCAGAGTCAGGCTGCCAAAGCAGAGGTCATACACTAAAGAGACAGTCTTAGTTCTCTTGGAGACCAAAACCACCTGCTTAATAGCCACATGGGCTTCTGGCTTGCTTTTACTCAGTAATCCCAGCACCAAAAGTGGGCTGCTGGGCTTCTCTATTATTAAGACAGAATATGGGCATTCAATGTGGGAGATCCATGATCAACACTAGAGAATTATCAGAAGTGTCAGGAATGTAACTAGGGGAAGGAGGAGCCACCTTCCCAGAGAAGAGTAAGCAGTTTGGACATTTCTAACAGCATCATAGAGTGGAACTCAAGACACACAAACAAGCCCTAGCTGGTTTGGTTTAGTGGATAGAGCATTGGCCCTCAGACTGAAGGGTCCATGGTTCGTTCAGGTCAACAGAATATGGGCATTCAATGTGGGAGATCCATGATCAACACTAGAGAATTATCAGAAGTGTCAGGAATGTAACTAGGGGAAGGAGGAGCCACCTTCCCAGAGAAGAGTAAGCAGTTTGGACATTTCTAACAGCATCATAGAGTGGAACTCAAGACACACAAACAAGCCCTAGCTGGTTTGGTTTAGTGGATAGAGCATTGGCCCTCAGACTGAAGGGTCCATGGTTCGATTCAGGTCAAGGGAACATAGGACAGTTGCAGGCTCCATCCCCGGCCCGGTGGTGGGCATGCAGGAGGCAACCAATCGATGTGTCTCTCTCACATTGATGTTCGATGTTCTCTCTCTGTTTTAACCCCTCCCTTCCACTCTCTCTAAAAATCAATGGAAAAATATTCTTTGGGTGAGAATTAACCAAAATAAAAAATAAACAAAATAAATAAAAACCCCAAACACACAAACAAGCAAATCTCAGTAACAACATAAAAGAATGTATAAGGCTGCTCTCAGCAAGTCCTTTCAGATTTAGAGCAGATTCAAACATGAATCCTTGATGTTTTTATCTTAAGCTGCAGTTGAAAATTCCTGAAATTGAGCTGGCATATCTCAAGGAGGGTCTTGGAATATTTGGAAGATATAGTCTGAATGCGTGCACTTATCAGTTGAGTACGAGATCTGGGGTGTGGGAAGAGTTATGGTGAAAGAAGAGTTTTTAAAGGTTTAAAAATAAGTAATTGAAAATAATACAGCTGATTAATAAAAGGCGGGAAAGGTACAACAGCCACACCATTGTTGAGCACTGGGAGTGGGCATCCTAGCAATCATCAAGAGTCACTGGTTCTTCCAAGATGCAGGAGGGCATGCTTCCCAGTGAGCCTTGCGGGGAAGGAACCAGAGCCAGGAGGGTGGGCAAGGACCAAATCTGCCACTTTGTAGTTGGAAAATGGAAATGCTTAATGAACAACAGCTTTGTCTCTTTCCCCCTTTGTCTCTTCTCTTGCTTTCCTCCTCCTGCTGCTCCTTCCTTTCTTTCCCATATTCTCATGAAAACATATCCCACTGTCAAAAATGAGGTGAGTGGGCAAAATTATCGTCAGAAGTGTCAGGAATGTAACTAGGGGAAGGAGGAGCCACCTTCCCAGAGAAGAGTAAGCAGTTTGGACATTTCTAACAGCATCATAGAGTGGAACTCAAGACACACAAACAAGCCCTAGCTGGTTTGGTTTAGTGGATAGAGCATTGGCCCTCAGACTGAAGGGTCCATGGTTCGATTCAGGTCAAGGGAACATAGGACAGTTGCAGGCTCCATCCCCGGCCCGGTGGTGGGCATGCAGGAGGCAACCAATCGATGTGTCTCTCTCACATTGATGTTCGATGTTCTCTCTCTGTTTTAACCCCTCCCTTCCACTCTCTCTAAAAATCAATGGAAAAATATTCTTTGGGTGAGAATTAACCAAAATAAAAAATAAACAAAATAAATAAAAACCCCAAACACACAAACAAGCAAATCTCAGTAACAACATAAAAGAATGTATAAGGCTGCTCTCAGCAAGTCCTTCCAGATTTAGAGCAGATTCAAACATGAATCCTTGATGTTTTTATCTTAAGCTGCACTTGAAAATTCCTGAAATTGAGCTGGCATATCTCAAGGAGGGTCTTGGAATATTTGGAAGATATAGTCTGAATGCGTGCACTTATCAGTTGAGTACGAGATCTGGGGTGTGGGAAGAGTTATGGTGAAAGAAGAGTTTTTAAAGGTTTAAAAATAAGTAATTGAAAATAATACAGCTGATTAATAAAAGGCGGGAAAGGTACAACAGCCACACCATTGTTGAGCACTGGGAGTGGGCATCCTAGCAATCATCAAGAGTCACTGGTTCTTCCAAGATGCAGGAGGGCATGCTTCCCAGTGAGCCTTGCGGGGAAGGAACCAGAGCCAGGAGGGTGGGCAAGGACCAAATCTGCCACTTTGTAGTTGGAAAATGGAAATGCTTAATGAACAACAGCTTTGTCTCTTTCCCCCTTTGTCTCTTCTCTTGCTTTCCTCCTCCTGCTGCTCCTTCCTTCCTTTCCCATATTCTCATGAAAACATATCACACTGTCAAAAATGAGGTGAGTGGGCAAAATTATCAAACAATATGACAAAAGCAAAGCACTTATAGATTGCCATTCTTTCCCACACCGAAACATGCATGCCTCTCCATTGATAAGCATCAATGGTACAATATCAGTTTAACAACACACAATTATAATCCACTGGAAACACGAGTCTAATTACTATTCTCCAAGTCTAATCTTGGCCTTTCATTCAATGCCTAAACATGATTTTATTTTTCTGTGACTCTCCACAAATGAATCTTTTGGATTATTCTTAAAAGAAAGGTAAGAATGCCACTAAAGTGTAAATACCTATAATCATTGGGAGAAAAAAGGCACACTCCACCTCCTTACCAATAAGACCAAAAATTAAGATAAAAAAGCTCCAGTGCAAAAAACCCCAACGCAAAATCTCTTGCATTCTATAAATGCCACATTACTTAAATAGTCAGAGTGGGCAGCTGTAATTCAGGAAAGTTCCCCTTTACCCTTTTAAAAGCAGTGCTTCCTTTTCTAAAGTGTCTTTTAGTCATTGCTTTAAGACTAATCAGCTTCCCATGCCAGCAAAGAGCCTCTTTTCTGCTTTTTCTCAAAATGTTGGCAGCGGCCATGGTCTTACTCTCTTCTTGCTTAAGGACCAGAAGTTGGCCTCTGATTTTTCCAACAGGTGATGATTACCACCACCAAGTTGATTAATTCAAAAAAGCAGTCCTAACACTTGCACATTTCTCAAAAGTTTCAGGTGATGGTCATCCCCAGGAAAAGTCATTGCTAGGACTTAAGGACACAGTCCTTCTCTAAGTCAGATGTTACCCAATTATGCCAGCCCTCTGGTATTTATACCACTCTAAGACAGAAGCTGGAATAGAAAGGGAACTATACCTCAAATTACCTCAAATCTCATAGGCCTAAGAGTCTAATAGTAAGCTAAATTCCGTACGGTGGGGGCATCCACTGAATGTAAGAATTGAAGAAATGTTTGGAGAATACCTATTACCATTTTACAGATGAAGGAGCCAAAGTACAGAAAAAGAAATAATTGCTAAATAATAGTTACTGTTTAATGAGCATTTACTATAGCATTTTTTTTATCCACACCTGAGGATATTTTCTATTGATTTTTAGAGAGGGAAAGACAGAGAAATATTGATGTGAGAGAAACACATCAATTGGTTGCCTCCAGCATGCGCCCTGACCAGGGCCCAGGTTGGGGAGCAGCCTGCAACGGAGGTACGTGCTCTTGACTGGAATCAAACCCAGAACCCTTCAGTCTGCAGATCAATGCTCTATATACTGAGCCAAACTGACTAGGGCTTTCCTATAGTATTTAGCTGTATTATTTCATTTTATGCTTTCAACAATCCTATGTGGCAGATTCTAGTAGGATCCCTGTTTTATATGAGAAAAGGAAGCTAAGTACCCCAAATCCCATGGTTGGTAAATGGGAGCATGAAAACTGTGTAGACTCCAATCTTGGCTCTACTAGACCTTCACAGACACTGATCCTTGTACTCTGGTCACACAGCTAAGGAATGACAGGGTCAGAGTTAGGAGCAAGTCTGCAATTCCCAGGGTAGTGCTTTTGCATCACCAGGCTCTAACAGTGAATATGAGTAAAATCAGAGCACTTAGAGCTTCACCAGGTAAGGCCCAGAGATCTGACTCAGGCTCAGACAAAAGGTCTAGGTAGACCTGTCTGGAGAATGTGCCTTGGGATCTGGTCTAGAATGGGAGGGTTCACTATGTTTGTTAGACCGGACTTCCTGTGATAAATCCGGAGTCTATATCAGTGTGGACTGCCACTGGGGTTAGAAAAAACTCTTTCTTTCTGCCTTTAATTTTCTTTGGGTCTGACTTGATATTAAACATCTATAATGTCTGTGTAGCAAGTGTGGTAGAAATGTGGTAGGGTAAAAAGGCTGACAGTTCTGATTTGCCTAAAAATGCATTTCATCCAGCAAGCATACATTTAATCTCCATTGGTATCTCTAGCCCTGGCAACCAGGGGATGTTAGGATTCAGCTGCTTTGCTTACAGAAATGTTTTATAATGCACAAAATGTAAAATTACTTGTATTCTTTTTAAAGCTTGGATTCTGCCGAAACCGGTTTGGCTCAGTGGATAGAGCGTTGGCCTGCGAACTGAAAGGTCCCAGGTTCGATTCCGGTCAAGGGCATGTACCTGGGTTGCGGGCACATCTCCAGTGGGAGATGTGCAGGAGGCAGCTGGTCGATGTTTCTCTCTCATCGATGTTTCTAACTCTCTATCTCTCTCCCTTCCTCTCTGTAAAAAATCAATAAAATATATTAAAAAAAAATAAAGCTTGGATTCTGTATATGACAGATCCTTTGGGAACTGATTCTACCGGCTTCAGCAATTCTCATTGTTAAAAACAAACAAACAAAAACACCACTCCCTTGCCATGGATGATTTGGCTCAGTGGATGGAGCATTGGCCTGCAGACTGAAAGGTCCTGGGTTCGTTTCTGGCCAAGGGGACATGCCCGGATAGTGGGCTTGATCCCCAGTGTGGGGCATGCAGGGGGCAGCTGATCAATGATTCTCTCTTCCTCTCTGAAATCAATAAAAACATATTTAAAAAAACAACACACTTCCAGTCCCTTGACGTTATTACATAAAAGCACTTAACTCACCCCTGCTTCTTGTATGCCAGCTAAATTCTCCTCCTCCATCTACACTGACTAGCTATCTCTACTTGGTTCTAAACCCACTGTTTCAAGAAACCATCTGAAGGTATTGGGTTACTATTTAAAATGCTTTCTATTTGCTTAGTATGTTAGTGTCCACAAAGCATGTTTACATATATTGGGTTGCTTTAAGCTTCATAACAGCCTGCTATGGTAAGTAGAAGACATCTTATTATTCTTACATGACTAAAGAAACAGAGGTTCAGGGAGTCCACATACTTACACAAGATCCCATGCCCCTTGACTAATGAACCTGGATGTTCTGACTCCAAGTTTGTCTTATTTTTTCCTTTATTTTTCAGAACAATTATATGTAAATAGCAAAACTGAGTGGGAAGTACAGAGAGTTCACAGGTATACCTCCTGAACATTTGGTTTTCTTTTTCTTAAAATATGCTGCCTGACTCACATTACTTTGAGGCCTTTATAAACTTAGAAAACTAATTCTATGTTCACCTGAAAGAACACATTTGTGAAAACTGGCTAAGACACTTCGATGTAGAAAGAGTAACAAGAGGAATTTTGCTGTATTAGATATTAAGATAATAATAACTAACATTTATTGAGTACTTTTGGGGGCTAGTAATATTTATAGCAATCCTAAAAGATAGCTACTATGACTATCCCCATTTCACAGTTGAGGAAAGTGAGCAAAAAGAAGTTAATTGACTTTCCCAAAGTCACATGAATGAGTGGACCTGGGATTTTAACCCAAACAGTTGGGCTTCAAGGCTCTTTCTAAGACCATACTCTGCCTCTGATATTTTATAATCTGAATAATTAAAATAGCTGAAAACTTAATAGGCAGGTTAATGGAATAGAACAGAAAGCTCAAAGGCAAACCCTAATGTATATAAGACTGAAGATGTAATTAAGTTGAAAATTCAAATCAGTGGATAACAGAGAATATATTTAATACATGGCTCCAGAGAGATAATAATGTTGAGGTTAAATACAGGCTTGGTATTAGACAAACCTAAGCTTATATAACAGTTCACCCACTTAACTAGCTCTCTGACCTTGGCCTAACAACAGCAACTTACTCATGGAAGCATATAAATTGCTTCATGTAGTGCTTTACACAAAACAAGCACTCAATAAACATTGGCTGTTAGTATTAGCACCCAATAAATACCAGCTATCATTATTTTTGGCATCAGAGGAATAAAGCTAGAATCTTATCCCCTCACACCACACACAACAAAATGTCCAGCTAAATGTAGAAAAAGAAATAAAAAATAGGGTAGGTCTACCTAATCTCAGAATGAGAAAAGACTTTCCACTTATAAAACAATGGGGAAGCCCAGCCGGTGTGGTTCAGTGGTTGAGTGTTGACCTATGAACCAGGAGGTCACGGTTCAATTCCCTGGTCAAGGGAAATGCCCAGGTTTCAGGCTTAATCCCCAGTAGGGAGCATGCAAGAGGCATCGGATTAATGATTCTCTCTCATCATTGATGTTTCTATCTCTCTCTTCCTCTCCCTTCCTCTCTGAAATCAATTAAAAATATATATATTTAAAAAAATTTTTTTAAACCTTAAAAAAATAGGGAAAAATCTTAAAACAAAACATAGATAATTATACAATAAGAAAAGTTAAAACACTGACATCTTAATCATAAAATTAAAAGGAGCCCTAACCGGCTTGGCTCAGTGGATAGAATGTCAACCTGCGGACTCAAGGGTCCCAGGTTTGATTCCGGTCAAGGGCATGTACCTTGGTTGTGGACACATCCCCAGTAGGGAGTGTGCAGGAGGCAGCTGATCTATGCTTCTTTCTCATCGATGTTTCTAACTCTCTATCCCTCTCCCTTCCTCTCTGTAAAAAATCAATAAAATATATTTTTTTAAAAATTAAAATAAAATAAAATGGAGAAATGAATATTTATCACAAATAACAAAAGATTAATATACTTAATACTTTAAAATCTTAAATGAACAGGTAAGAAAGACTCTAAAACCCATAGGAAGAAAAGGTACAGAGATTAGGAACACCTGGTTCACAGAAGAAATATTTTTAAATATCAAAAAATACTTAGAGCCCTAACCAGTTTGGCTCAGTGGATAGCGCGTCAGCCTTCGGACTGAAGGGTCCCAGGTTCGATTCCGGTCAAGGGCATGTGCCTTGGTTGCGGGCACATCCCCGGTTGGGGGTGTGCAGGAGGCAACTGATCGATGTTTCTCTCTCATCAATGTTTCTAACTCTCTATCCCTCTCCCTTCCTCTCTGTAAAAAATCAATAAAAAATATATTTTAAAAATACTTAGAGGGGAAACCAAGATGGCGGCGTAGGGAGTAGACCTGTGCATGCTGCCCTCTCACAGCATCATTGAAACTACCAACTATGAGGCAAACAACCACCACTCAGAACCATGGGGAAGTTGGCCCAGTGGGAGATCTACAACTGGACGAAAAGAAAGAAGCGCAGTGAGACTGAGTGGGAGCTATGGAGGCGCCAAAAACAGAGGTACGCAGTCACATGCCAGGCGGGCTGCAACTGGATGTTCGGTTTTTTTTTTAATTGGAAGGGGTTACGAACCCTCGAATCCTCTGGGCTTGCTCAGGGCGGGTCTCTGAGGCCCCAGATCCCACGGGGAGAGGCGGTGCGGCCTTGCAGCGGTTGGAAAGCGAGGGAAGCCCTGACGCACGGCTGCTCGCTGGCACTGGGGGACGCAAAGTCCTGGTGTCCCGGAGAGGCAAGGGGTCGCAGTGACGCCGCCATTGCTATCTGCTCCGCGCTGGTGACTCCCTGAGACCCCACCCTACTCAATTTACATCCCCATCCAAGCTGTGCCAGAGGCACAAGAGGAAATGCCTGTGCTTTTACAAACTCTCAGGTCCACTGAGCTGGTTCCGGCGGGTCTCTGAGGCCCCAGGCCCCATGGGGAGAGACTGCACGGCCTTGCAGCGGTCAGAAAGCGAGGGAGGCTCTGGCGCGCGGCTGCTTGCCGGCACTAGGGGACGCAAAGTCCCGGTGTCCCGGAGAGGCAAGGGGCTGCGGAGACTCCACCCCAGCGACTCCCTGAGACCCCGCCCTACTCAATTTACATTCCCATCCGGGCTGTGCTGGAGGCACAAGAGGAAACGCCTGTGCTTTTACAAACTCTCAAATCCACTGAGCTGGTTCAGGCGGGATCATGAGGCACAGACCCTACGGGGAGAGGCGGCACGGCCTGGCAGCCGTCAGAAAGCGAGAGAGGCTCTGTCGCACAGCTGCTCGCTGGCACTAGGGGACGCGAAGCCCCGGTGGCCCGATGAGGCAAGGGGCTGCGGAGACGCAGCCAGTGCTATTTGCTCCACCATGGCGACTCCCTGAGACCCAGCCCTAATCAATTTACATGCCCATCCAAGCTGTGCCAGGTGCACAAATGGGACAGCCCCGGTGAGGTTAAAACAGCCCCGGTGAGGTTGGGACGGCCCCAGTGCGGTTGAAATGGCCCCGGTCAGGTCGGAACGACCCGGGTCAGGTTGAATCGGCCCCAGTGAGGTCGGGACGGCCCCGGTGAGGTCGGGACAGCCCCGGTGAGGTTGAAACGGCCCCGGTGAGGTTGGGACAGCCCCGGTGAGGTTAAAACAGCCCCGGTGAGGTTGGGACGGCCCCAGTGCGGTTGAAATGGCCCCGGTCAGGTCGGAACGACCCGGGTCAGGTTGAATCGGCCCCAGTGAGGTCGGGACGGCCCCGGTGAGGTCGGGACAGCCCCGGTGAGGTTGAAACGGCCCCGGTGAGGTTGGGACAGCCCCGGTGAGGTTAAAACAGCCCCGGTGAGGTTGGGACGGCCCCAGTGCGGTTGAAATGGCCCCGGTCAGGTCGGAACGACCCGGGTCAGGTTGAATCGGCCCCAGTGAGGTCGGGACGGCCCCGGTGAGGTCGGGACAGCCCCGGTGAGGTTGAAACGGCCCCGGTGAGGTTGGGACAGCCCCGGTGAGGTTAAAACAGCCCCGGTGAGGTTGGGACGGCCCCAGTGCGGTTGAAATGGCCCCGGTCAGGTCGGAACGACCCGGGTCAGGTTGAATCGGCCCCAGTGAGGTCGGGACGGCCCCGGTGAGGTCGGGACAGCCCCGGTGAGGTTGAAACGGCCCCGGTGAGGTTGGGACAGCCCCGGTGAGGTTAAAACAGCCCCGGTGAGGTTGGGACGGCCCCAGTGCGGTTGAAATGGCCCCGGTCAGGTCGGAACGACCCGGGTCAGGTTGAATCGGCCCCAGTGAGGTCGGGACGGCCCCGGTGAGGTCGGGACAGCCCCGGTGAGGTTGAAA